GAGGGGCAAAAGGAGTGAGGCAGGGGAAATACCATGACCACTAAAGAGGTTTTCCTAGTTACAGGGGGGAACCACTTTCTTGGCAGGGGGTAGTACCCTAACTGTTGTAATGCATAGATAGCCTCCCCCTTTCACTTCTAGTGGGAAGATCTCCACTACACGCGGACTTTACGGAAAGGGAGAGTTCTCCCTAGCTGGTTCTTGTGGCCATATGGTTGAGAGCAGGTGAAACTTGGGGGCATCTGATCTGAACCCCAAGCCTCTGGGCTTGGGCCTGCATGGAGGATGTCCACCAAAACGTTTGGAAGCATCTGAAGCCCCAGGCAGGGGTGGAGGATGCTTGCCTGTAGCAGGGTCTTATATGGTTCTTGAATGACTCATGGATTTGGAATTGATATGGCTGATTTGCCCTGGAACATGAAAAATTTTCCATAAAAAAAAAAAAAGAAGTGAGGAACTAGCAGTGACAAGGAAGGAATTCCTGTTGAATGGAGAAGGCAGCAGCCTATGCCTGGCAAGGGAAGTTTGCAGCAACATATCACAAAGGATGCAATGGCTCGGGGCTGAAGGAAACCTCGGCAATGCCTGAGAAGCAAACCAGCAGGAGAGCTGTTCACTGTAAATCTAGCCCTGGTGATGTCTTGGGAACAGCCCCAGAAGGGAGCATCATGCCCCTGTCCAAGAAATGCATTGGAAAAGGCTCAAGAGTGAGCAGGACAGGGGCCAAGGATGGGGGGTGTCCTCAATCCCTTTCCAAAGGTGCTTTTTCCTCTTCCCTGTCCCACCCCAGGGTTGTGGCTAGGGAGCAATCCCTTCTCCAGGTTCTCCACTGCTGTTCCAGGTTGAGCCCCACACACTTGGGACCCTAAGGCAGGATTTTCTGGTGGCTCCTTCGAGCAAAACTTCCCCCCTTCACCCCCTCTCCACCTGAGGCCACCCAACCCAAGGAGCCCAAAGACTGCTGTCTCTTGGGCAGCACAGCAGCTGTGTAGCAGATGACATTTTCTTCAGGCCTTTCCCTGCCCACTGGACTTTCCGTGCCCAACTTCTAGTGTAGGCAGGTGGAAGGAGCAAGGAGAGGCCCCACTCCGTTAGCCCAGCTGTCACTGAGGACCCCTGAGGGCATGATGCTGCCCCAGCGTGTGGAGAGCCCTTGGGCCAACTCCACAGTCCCTGGAACGGCAACTTGAACCTGCCACAGCCCAGCTGGATTTAGGTTCCACATTGTTTGATATTGTGATGGGTCCTCAGTGTGGCTCAGGGGCAGGATTATCAGACACTGGTCTGCCTGCTCAAACCAGACCCTTCACACCCTCCCTTCAGCATCTCTCCACCCACAGTCCTTCCCAGCTTACCACTTCCCACTAAGAGGCCACACTGCATGGCAAGGATGGCTCTAGCCAGCAACTCAGGAGCCCAGGTCTCCTCCCAGCTCTTCTAAAAACATACTGGGTAACAGCTTCACTTGATGCCTCAGTTTCCCTCCCCCATTCTTGGGCAAAGGCCATGTCCCATGCTGCATGTGTAAAGCAGCTAGCACAATATGCCCATACCATAGGATAGGGCCTGTATGTGCTCCCAAGAATCACTTGATCGTGGCAATCCCTGGGCCTACGCAGTCAGAGCCATGGCCCACATTCTGGCCAGGGAACCCTAATGAACTCAGGAGGTGGGGACAGGCCTCACCCCCTACTTGCCCATTCTTACCTAGGGCAGCTGAGGAACAGTGAGCAGTGCTCACATTTCACTGCAGCCTGACACTCAGGTCAGCCCACTCCTCAGACAGAGATCTGTTCATACTCTTTACCCCACCTGCCTACAATGCCCCTTCCACACACTGAGATACATCACACTATAGGCCAGTCCAGGTGCACAGGCCTACTGCTTTCTCCTGCAGGCAGGGTAGCTAGGAACAGCTAGAGATCTTTGCCAACCAGCTTGTCAGTAGGGCTGTGTGAAATGGCACCGTTCTGTTTCGACTTATGTTTTGACGGAACGGCGTTTTGTTTCGATTTGAAACCACTGTTGTTTTGTTTTGTCAAAAGTTTTGCTGTTTCACCCATAGGATATAATGGGGAAGCTCAAAACAGCCTATAACTGTCATTTCTGGCCCAATTTGGATGAAACTTGCAGGAATGGTAGCCCCTTCTGAGGGCATGAAGCCTGCCAAGCTTCAAGGAGAATAGGGTCAGGGGTTTCAGGGAAACTGCACCTCAAAGTCTTGAAAGCAAAACGCATGTCACGTGTATGTGTTACGCCATAGCAGGGTCAAAACTGCAGGCATGCTAGCCCCTGCTGAGGTCACAAAGCCTGCCAAGTTTCAAGGAGATAAGTGCAGGAGTTTGGGGGAAACTGCACCTCAAGCTGCGGACAAGCAAAACTCGTGACATGGGTAACACTGTATGTGTTAAGGCGTAGCAGGGTGAAAGCTCCAGGCATGCTAGCCCCTGCTGCGGCCACAAAGCCTGCCAGCTGTCAAGGACATAGGTGCAGGGGCTTCTGGGTTCTGGGGCCCTGCACCTCTAGCTGCTGACAGGCAACACTGGAACACGCAGCTCAGTACCTGACACCAAGGCAGAAAGCAGGGCAGTTCAAACAATGCTGCCTCTTACGCAGTTTTTCTATCCCCCCCCCCAGCACGGGGATTGGAAAGGACCTCAGGGAAGGATGACAATCACAGGCCAGCTACAGAGTCAATAATGTGAGCACTCCTTCCCCCTCCCTCTCTTTTAGTTCAGGGGTGGGCAAAATACAGCCCGTAGGCCGCATCCGGCCTGCAAGGCCATTCTATCCGACCCGCAGGGCCCCTAAAAAATGTAGAAAATTAATATTTCTCTGCCCTTGGTTCCTGTAAAAAATGACAGGAACCAAGGGCAGAAGGACCCAGGGGAAGCCCCTGCCCGCCCCGCCCCCCAGCCGGAAGCCCCAGCGGGGGTTCTGGGCTGGGAAGCACGGGCTGCGAGCACCTGCAGCGCGGGGCACTGGCCGTGGGAAGGGGGAGGGGCCGCTTCCCCCCCCAGCGTTTCCCTGGGCTCCTTCCCTGCGCAGAGAAAAGCAGCCCCTGGCCAGCGCCCGGCGCGGCCTCTGAACGCCTGCAGCACGGGGCGCCGGGCATGGGGCAGGGAGGGGCTGCTTTCTCCCCCCGCCCCAGCACTCAGCACCAGTTTGTAACCCAGTCCCACTGCCAGGCTAGCAGTGGGGCAGGGTACAAGCCGGGGGTGAGGGGGTGCTGAGCACAGGGAAAAGTGGCCTCTCACCCGCCCCATGGCCAGTGCCCCACGCTGCAGCCACCTGCAGCCTGCATGAAGCTGCCTGTGCCTGCTCCAGACAGCCCCACGCAGGCCACGAGCACCTGCAGTGGGGAGCGCTGGCCATGGGGCGGGTGAGGGATCACTTTTCCCCACTCAGCACCAGCTTTTTACCTGCTGGTGAGCAGGGGGTCGGGGCTGAGCACTGCCCCCACCTGTACCGTGGGGCTGGGGGGCACTGGGTATGACCAGGCTGGAAGCCAGTGGGAGCACAGGGCCACACCAGTGTCCTGGGGCTGGTGCTGGTGGGGCCCAGGGCAAGGTGGCAGGAGCACAGGGTCCCAGCTGGCAGGGGCTCAATGGATCTGGGCCAGCTCCCCACTCCCTGCTGGTGCAGCCCAGCCCAGCTCCACAGACCCCTGCCAGCTTGCGCCCAGCTCTGGGCCCCACTGGTGCTGGCCCTGGGATATTGGTCCCAAGACAGTGACCAGAGGGTGGGGCACCTGTCAAGGAACAGGGCTACCCATGCGGCCCTAGACAGCCTGCCAAAACTGGGTAAGCGGCCCTCCGCCCAAAATAATTGCCTGCCCCTGCCTTAGTTTTTGTTTCCCTGCAGGCAAGCCCAGCTTCAGCTTTGAAATTTGAAACATTTCAACTTGCCTTGTTTCATTTTGAGGCTGTTTCGAAGCTCTCTGTTTCATTTCGATTTTGCTGTTTTGAGCTTGAAACAAGTCAAAACAGTGTCGAAACGAAACTGCTGTCAAAATTTCGCACAACCCTACTGGGCAGCATGGTACCCAAAGCAGCGGGACCTGGGGTGTCTCAAGAAACTCCTACTGAGGTTCAGGCCACACTTCCCCCACCTTTTATTTTATACCCGCTCCATCCATGCATGGCTTCATCAATTTCACGCCTTGATAATTTCATGGTCCGAGGGCTAGGGAACTGGCTCCGTGGAGGGACTCTGAAAGTTGATGGAATCAAATCAACTTGGTGCACTGTAACCAGTGGCATCCCCCAGGGCTCCGTTCTCAGACCTGACTCTTCAGTGTGTTTATAAATGATCTGGACTTGGGTGCTATAAGTGGAAAAGGGAACCCATTACTAGGTGAGGTCAGGGATCTTAGGCCCCTTCAGCATTGGAACCCAGAAGCCTTCAGGCCTGGGTTTGACCTTTGTGCTTAACTCAAACCGCATGCTTAGCTTGAATTGTGGTTGAGACATGCACCCAATGAAAGGAGAAGATGGAAAAATACTGTCCCTGACTTAAAAAGCATCAGGAAGTTGTCTAGCTAAATTGAATAAATATAATCTGGGCAAAAAAGGAACAGTCAGAGCAAAACCTACCCCCACCTAACTATGAAAAGGTTACCTCAGAATATAAAATTCCAGTTAAAGTTAACCATATTTGGCAAATAGAAGATTATTAATATGCATTAGGAGGAAGGCTTGAACTCATTTTATGTTTAAGAAATGCAGGCTCTATGGTATATAAAGAGAGGTGAGAGCGTATCCTTCGGAACACTTCTGGAAGAAGCCTGAAGAGATCCTGTCACCAATCCAAGATCCTCAACATCAGACATGGGAACAAGGAGCCCCAGACAAGAATTCATGGTTTGATCAACCAGTGAAGTTGCGTTCGCAGCAATACGGGGTGGTGAACATTTACTTTGACTAACTAGAAACCTAAAATTTTTAACTGCTAATGCTGCTTCAGTTCTAATTAGAGTTGTATCTGTTAGGGTTCAGTAAACTTCCCTTTAGTTTAGGACAACCGTGTTTTAGTTTCCTTGCCTGACATAAGACCCATTATAGCGCCATAGGGATGCAACACCAGGGACAGATGCTTTCCTCTTACTGCTTCAGCAATAAGGGGCAGCACACCACTCTGTCTCTCAACATGCTCAGTGTACCCTGGGCTCTGGACTTGCTGTGAAGGAGATGCTGACACTGTCCCAAGGCACAGATTTTATTACGTGCATGCAAGCATGGTGTCTGCTAGGCCTTTTGTCTGAAGGAGAATTTAACCAGGAAGGGAGGGGAGATGGGAGGAGGAGAGGTAACAAAGGGACATGGTTGGGAGGGACAGCCCTGGGGCCGCACGGCAGCTACCCGTATCTTTAGGGCAAACAGAAGCTATGGGCCTGGAACGCAACACTCTGGTTTAACCTGTGGCCTGGCTGCAGTCACAAAGCTGCTAGAACATCCCCAGCACAGCTCTGAACAGCCCATCATGTAGAGCCGAGGTTCCCAACCCCTGGGCCCAGTACCGGGCTGTGAAGGGTTGGCTGCCGGTCCACAGGAGGGTTGGCTGCCAGACCAGCAAACTGTGGACCAGCAGTGCCAGCATACTGCGGGCAGGCAGCCAACCCTTGTTTATACTCAGCATAAAAAAGGGTTGGCTGCCAATCCGCAGTATGCCGGTCACTTCCATTCCACAGTTTGCCAGTCCTCAGCATAAAAAGGTTGGGAACCCCTGATGTAGAGGGATAAACACAAGTAATCATGCTACACAGTGCACGGCAAGGAGAAGCGCAGACCAGCTTCTGGGATTCCCAAGGAGCAAAATATGAGTGCAAAGGGCAGCGGGTCCAAACACTTTGCTTTGGTGATGGTTTGGTGTCATAATTGAGTTGAAAATACCTGTGAAAACACAGAGCAGAATAAGGGCCCATTTGTACCACCCTTGAGAGCACCAAGACCCAACAGTGAGGCAGTAGCCTCAGCACGGTCTCCGGCATGCTTGCTGGCACGTGCTCAGCATTACACCACAGCTGCTTCAGCACCTTGTTTTCAGGATGTGGAGCATGTGGAGTGGGGAGCAAGTGAGTAGGGCTGTTTGTGGCTGTGTAACAGACACAGGGTGGATGAGTCATGAGGGGTCCTGCAGGCTTTCTGTAAGATTAGCCTCCCAGCTATACAGCAGCAAAGGAATGGATGCTTCTCAGTAGCCACTGGGGATACAAAAAACAAATCTAAGGGTGTGGACACATGGCAGGTTTACTCATGAATAATTAAATTTGACTGTCAAGCTAGCCTCAAGGTATGAGCCTGTCCAACTATCTAACTCCAATCCTCACAAGGCCACCAGGTGTTGCTACAGGCCCAGGTGCTAGTTGTATCTCCTCACCAACACAGACCACATCATCACTGGGCTGAACAACACAAATTATAATGTCTGGGGTTCATTCACCTCTTCCTGTACTGTCATCTGTATCATCACCTGCTTACAGTGCCCTTCTGTTGTCTACGCTAGCTGGGACGTTCTTTCTTACATGAAAGAATGAATGGACATGGATTCAACATAAACTCTAGAAACACAAAAACCTGTGGGCACAACACTTTAACCTCCCTGGACATTCCATCACTGACCCCAGAGCAGCTGTCCTTAAACAAAAGAACTTTTAAAAACCAACTTGAACATGAAATCTCAGAACAAGAAATCATCCACAGACTAGACTGTACTAATCACGATTTCAAGAGGGACTGAATTCTTACCCATTACCTGGCCTAGGCATTTACTCTAGTGTTCCTCCAGGTATTAAATGCCTTGCTCATTTCAACTTATCTAATCAACTCACTCATTACCTCTTAACAGATCCCCTCTCCCTGCCCCTTTCCCTCCTACATAAAATCTTTTCCTGTGAATTCCTAGTATTTGATGAAGTAGGTTGTTGCTTACAAAAGCTCATGCTGAACCAATTCGTCTCTAAGGTCCCTCTGCCCTGCCTTCTGCCTAACTTTACTCTGGGTAAAAGTGAAGTGGACACATGATAGGCATGTGAGCCATAATGCTCCAGGAAAAACTTAATCCTTGGAAAACAAGGAGTAACTAAAGTTTGTGTCTGCTTCCCTAAGTCAGGGGTCAGAAACCCATGACCTGCATAGCCTTTGGATCTGGACTACGGAGCTGTGCCTTCAGCAGCAGGGGCTTTCCCCATGTTGTGATGTAGCTGGGTACCTGCGGCTCTAGCAGAGGGGGAGCTCTGCCCATGCTGCTGCACCACAATCAGGCAACACAGGCTAAAGCAGAAGAGGGCTTTTGCTTCATCCTGCAGTAGCGGAGCACTGGAGAAAAGTGCCTGTGGTGGCCAGGTATTTAGTGCCCACCTTTTCCCCCCTCAGCTGGGTCATTCTGGGGCCCCACGCAGGCAAACAATTGTTGCTGATCCCTTCCCTAAGCAATTCCATCTCCCACCTTGCACAATGCAAATAAGCTCTCCCAGCATTTAGTGGGCAAACACTCTGAAGCACACACTGCAGGAGGCTGTGTCCACTCCTTACTAAATAACATCTGGTAGAAGTTCCTCTGCAGTAGCTGTGTTGTGGTCCACACCCATATATTTGTTTGTGCCGGAGACTGATCCAAATCCCGCCAATTGCCAAGTGTGGCTATGTACCCAAGCACATCCCCATCCTCTCCCTAACCCCATCAGTCCTGCCCTTCACAAGGCAAGCTGCTGCTTGTCCGGCCTTTGCATCCTAGGCCTCTTCATTGCTACTGCCTCCTTTCACCTGCAGGACATCACTGCAAAGCAGGCACTGGCCTACTTGTGCCCACTGTACCGAGAGCAGTATGGTATGCGCCAAGCAAGGCCCTGGAGCCTGAGACTCTCCAATCTATGGCGTGGGCAGGAGCAGTTTGTGGGGTCAACCCACATGATGCTCATTCAGAACAAACTGCACATTTCCCACCCCCTCCACCCTGCCATTTCACTGCTAGTGGGTGTGTTACCCTGGGTGCCAGTTTCAGAAGAGCGGGGCCATCTGGCGAGGGTCATCAGGCAGGATGCTTATGGAGTCCTCAGCCCTGCCACACAACAGACACAACATGGTGTACTCCTGTGGGCAGAAAGAGATGGTAAATCACTGAGAGCAGCTGCTCTGATATACCTATGCTTCCCCAAAGTGCACAGCCTACACTTCCCACTAAAGGTGTATCGGTCTATCAGTCCATATTGTATCGGCACCAATAAAAGGAAAATTGACTTACCGGCAATCAGCTTTTTTTGGCCAATGGGGCTGATAATGTCACTGATAAATGGCCCATGCATGCACGGAGCCATAGTGTGCATGTGGCCAGGAGTGCAGCTTGGCAACATGGAGAGCAGAGTCCAGCCAGTAGGTCTGTGGGGAGGAAGGAGCTATGGGGGGTATGGGGAGGCACACTGAAGCCCCCACAATGAGGGAGGGAGTGGGGCAGAGGCAGACACTGCCCAGCCGAGGCAGGGTGCAGGATGAAGCCGTGGGCTGCAAGGGGAGGGTGGGCTGCAGCAGCACTGGGAGGGGAGGGCTACGGGGTTGGCTATAGCCACCCCAAATTCTCTGTAGGCCTCCCTCCCAATGCCACCGCCACTGCCCACCCCACCCCTGACCACCCCATGCACAGCCCTGACCCAGCCCCCAACACCCGGAAGAGGTTGGCTCAGACCCTGGCCCCAGCCTGCAGCAGGCAGCCTGACCCCACACACAAATCCAGAGCACATTCACCCCATGCCTCCCCCTGGGGTGCACATAGTAATGACAGCTGCACTCCCCCGCCCCTGGCTCCATCCCACACCCCACCCCAGCTGGCAGCACCTGCCCCTGCGCCAACCCCATTCCCTCTCTCACTGTGGGAGGATTCGATCTGCCCCTTCCCCACCCCCCCAGACTTACTTACCAGACACTGCTCTCTAAACTGCCAGGCTGCATATCAGCAATCAGATCAGTATCAGCCAATATGGCTGGCTAATAATTGGCCCTCAGTATCGGCCCCAAAAAATCTTTATCAGTGCACCCCTACTTCCCATGTGCCCACCCAGGAGTCATCCTGGGCTCAAGGCTCCTCCTCTTTAATGCAAAGCAGCAAACCAGTATGTTGAGACCCATGGTCTCTCTGGGATTAAGGGGAGGACAGGCTTGGGCCAAAGGGTGTCCTCAGCCCTGGCTACATGTCCCAGTAGCTGTGTTGTCTTTGCAGAGCTGTTCCCTTCCTGGAGTGTGTCCATTAGAAGGCAGCCTGCCCCTACCAGGTCCCTCATTCAGACTGGCCTTAGAGAACAAAGGCGCTCACTGCTCCAGTACTTATAGGCAATGGCAATGCCTCCTCGTAATTCCTCTCATGTTCAGCAAAAAGCAATGCCCTGCTGCAAGGGACTGTCTTCCCAGTGCCAACCTCATTTCCACAGTGCATTACAGCCAGAGAAACTGGAGATGGAGCTGGCACCCGATCCTGCTGCCACAGAGATGTCAGAGAAAGCCAAGAGAGCAGTCAGGCCTGCAAGGCTTGAGTTTCTCCCAGGGGACCTGTGCATAATGGCTCCCCGTAGCACCTTGTTTTAAAGCATACTAAGTGCTGAGGCAGTTGTGACCTCCCCAGGGAAACTCTTCAATGGCCATGTGCAGCTCCAGCCCCTTTCACCTGAATTATCCTTTCACTAATTCAGCAAGACAACCTACTCTGAAGGATAGCAGAAGTAAAATGAATCCATGACTGGGGCACTCCATGACAGTCACAGTAATCAGCACCAACCAATTCTGGGCAGGTAGGCTCCTGGCATGGTGGACCAAGTACCCTTGTTGAAGGACCACAGCACAACAGCTGGTTGATGAGGAAGTACCAAGGATGGCTTAGGGTATGCAAAGCCCTAGCACTGGAGCTGGCAAGCTGGACAGACTCTTTGTCAGGTGGTCAAACTTAAAGACCTGGGCATCAGGCAGACTGAGCTGGACTTGGCCATGGTAACTGTAACATTTTAGTCAGTTTTCTCTGTAGCCAAGCACTGGTCCTGGGTCTGCAGTTGATCAATTTTCAGCAGTCACTCTCCTCAGGGCAGACAGGGTTGCTCTCCTCAGGGTGGACAGGGCCTTCTCCTAATGAAGAGCAGGCACAGCCACTAAATGAGGGAAGGGGAAGCCTGGGGAAGTTTTCTGGCTGATCCGTTTGGAATCACTGTCTGATTCTTGCTGCCCCAACAGTGGTTTCAACAGGAACCAGAACTAGCATCCACCAGCATTGGTTCCTGTTTCCATGCAGACATACACTGAAATGGAACAGTACTAATTAGATTCAGCCTATGCTCAGTCCCTTCCAGAGCAGGCCAAGCCTCAGCCATTAAACACTGTAAGACTGGGCATCAGAACTTGATGTCAGATGTGGCTGTCTGTAGCCTCCTGTACGTAGGCTGCTTGGAGCAAAGCAGCAAGGCACACAGGTGGGTTGTGTCCCGCCATTTCTACCAGTTGCTGCTGTGAAGTATGAGACATGCAGTCCAGGCAATGCTTGGCTTGTGCAGCCCACTGGCTCCCTCTGATGGTCACAGGGAGTGGAGATCACACAGTATCAGATAATGCTGTGGCTAGGCAGGCACCCTACTGGAGCCCAGGACTTGAAAGGAAGTTCTGAACCTCAGCTTGGCAGGGAAGCTGTTCAGAAACCGTGGTGCTAGTCCAGCTCTGAGATACCATGGCAGCCGGAAAAGGAGGAAACAGAGGCACAGGTCAGAAGACAGCATCGATCTGTGGGTTAAGGCCAGGGGTGGACGCAGATTAAGGTTTTGGTGGTGCAGCCGCACCCCCCACCCCCTGATGTCTGTTCCATTCAAAGTTTAAAACAAGCTGCCTACAGGATCAGCTTCATATCTATTCAGGTGGACTGAAGAGACTATTGATTTCAATTTAATTTTTGCTCTTTGCTCCGAAGGTGTTGACAACCCGATATCTTCTGCTAATCAAGCTATCCTTTCTTCTACTGTTATACTGGTAATGTTTCTCAGCTTGTCTGATAAAGGTGTGCCACTACCTAGGACCCTGTACAGGGTGGGTTTGTTCCTAGGGAATTCAAACACACAACAAATCAGACACAGGGTGGGCAGGGGCAGGACTGAAGGCAGGTCTAGCTGTCCAGTGGCTGTGGTGCAGGTGATCAGAGACAGGAGGGAGTTGCAAAGAGGTTAAGTTACTGCAGTGACCCTTTCCTGGGTTACTCATTGCAGCAGATGATGGAAAGCTGAACCAGCGGCACAGTCAGGTCAACGTAAAGCCCAGCACTGGCAGACTCAGAGAGGTTGGTCTCCACTGGCAGGGGAAATGCAAGCAGCTGAAGCAAGTCCTCCCCCAACCCCAACTGTTTGTTTCAGTATTTGGGGTCAGAAGGAATTTTACTCCATGGTCAAATTGGTACGGATTGTGAGGAGTTTTGCCTTCCTTTGTAGTGGGGGCATGGCCTGCTACCTGAGATCTCTTGAGCTATATTAACAACCTTTCATAAAAGCAGGAAATTGGCTGCCATGGTTCCCTTGCTTTACCTGTGGCAGGTTAGGGTGTTTTATCTTGTGTTGTGTCAGGATTGATGGTAGTTGTACTAAGAGGTTAGATTATGGATTTGTGTAGGATGGTTTGGATAAGGATGATCCTGCCTCAGGCAGGGGTAGGACTAGGTGACCTATGGATGTTCCTTACAACCCTACTTCTCCATGATTTTTATGATTTGTATGTTGAGGGTGAAAGACAGTGGAAGACAGATATTGGCATGCTGTGGGGCAAAGGGGGGACACTGGAGGAGGGGGACAGTTACAGTCATGCCCCATGGCTGGAAGGGGCATATTTGGGAGGGGTTTTGAGGTGAAGGGGCTCCTGGAGGCCATCAGAGGTTAGACAGGGGTTCACAGGCACCAAGGGGCTTTTGTGGGGATGGGGGGCCTGTGGGGTAGAGCAGTGTGGGGTGAGGAGGAGCTGGGGTGTTATGGAGGTGTGGCAGTGTGACACAAAACAGAGTTTGGATCTGAGGGGTATAATGTGGGCTATGGTACTGAAATAGAGTCTGAGGGGGGTTGGGAACAAGTGGAAGTGTGGGTGAGGGGGCCCCAGGGAGTGTGAGGGAAAGCAGTGAGGTCTGGGTGCTCAGAAGAGCAGGGGAGGGCTCAGTGGGATGTAAGGGGGATGGTGGGGTCTAATGGGGCTTGGGGCATGATGGAATGGGGTTAAGTATGGGGGATATGTGAGATAAAAGTGGAGCCAAGGGCATCTGAGATGGAAAAGGCAATGCATAAAGGATAATGAAAAGGAATGTGGACTATCTGGGGGACCCAGTTGTTGGGGTTCAGGGAATAGTTATGTCCATAGCCAGGTTGGGGATTATATCAGATGTACTCCCCTAGCACATGCAGAGGAACCAGGCCCCAAGTGCATATGCACAATCTCAACTTTCATGCTTCACAAATGACCTTGTTCTCTTACTGGGGCATCCAGAGCCAGCCTGCACCCTGTCATAGTTTCATAGTTCATAGTTGGTAGGGTTGGAAGGGACCTGAGCAGTTCATCAAGTCTGAACCCCCTGCCGTGGCAGGAAAGAGTACTGGGGTCAAATGACCCTGGCCACGTGTTCATTCAGCCTCCTTTTAAAAATGCCCAGGGTAGGAGCCAGCACCACTTCTCTTGGAAGTTGGTTCCAGATCCTAGCCGCCCTGATAGTGAAGTAGCATCTCCTGATATCTAGCCTGAATCTACCCTCTGCTAGCCTGTGACCGTTGTTTCTTGTCACTCCTGGGAGTGCTCAGGGGAACAGGGACTCTCCCAGTGCCTGCTGGTCCCCCCTGACTAGTTTGTAAACGGCCACTAGATCCCCCCTCAGCCTTCTCTTGTGGAGGCTGAACAGGTTCAGGCCCCGTAGCCTCTCCTCGTAGGGCCTGCCCTGCTGCCCCCAATCATGCGAGTGGCCCTCCTTTGGACCCTCTCAATGCTGTCCACATCCTGCAGTACTCCAACTGCAGCCTGACCAGTGTCGCATAGAGGGGGAGGATCACCTCCTTGGACCTGCTTGAGATGCATCTGTGGATGCATGACAAGCTATACTTGGCCTTCCCCACACTGTCGGCCCATGTTCATTTTGGAATCAATAATGACTCCAAGATCCTTCTCTGCCTCTGCACTGATGAGAAGGGAGTTCCCTAGCGTGTATGTATGCTGCTGGTTCTTCCTCCCCGGGTGCAGGACCCTGCACTTTTCAGTGTTGAAACCCATCCTGTTCTCTTCTGCCCACCCCTGTAGCCTGTTCAGATCCGATTTGCAGCCTATTCCTTCCTTCTAGCGTGCCCACTTCTCTCCACATCTTAGTGTCATCTGCAAATTTGAACAGGGTGCATTTTACCCCTTTGTCCAAGTTGCTGATGATGTTGAACAGTGCAGGCCCAAGGACTGACCCCTGAGGAACCCCACTGCCCACATCCCTCCAGGTTGAATAAGACCCGTCCACCACCACTGTCTGGGTGCTGTCCTCCAGCCAGTCAGTGACCCATCTGACTGTGTAGGCATCAACACCACAGTCTCCTAGTTTTTTAATGAGAACGGGGTGAGAGACCATGTCAAAGGCTTCCCTAAAGTCCAGAAAGACTACATCCACCGCGACACCTGCATCCAGGGATTTGGTGACCTGGTCATAGAAGGCCACCAGGTTGGTCTGACAGGACTTGCCTCTAATGAACCCATGTTTCAGATGTCATGTGAGCTGGAAGACATCAGTCAAGAAGCATAAGGCAGCCATGAACAAATTTAGGGCCAATTCAGTGGTATGCAGCTTTGGGTGTCCTGAGCAGACAGCTGGAAATGATGCAAAGGATAAATCACCTTGTGCAGGGAATCTGGCCCCCAGGAAGAGAGGGAGGGTAGCTGTAATTATTCACCTACTCCCTAGCCAGAGAAGCACACAGCACAAAGCAGACTCAGGCATGCTCAAAGGCAATGGCATAAGACACCCAGAGAAGAGCAGTAAAGGCCTGGGTTTCCTATGCTTCTGCAGTGTTAGGCCTGGGGTCTTCACAAGACTCAGGAAAGCATCTGCAGAGAAATCAAGGAGTACATGTAAACAAGAGAGTATACCTGGTAATCGTCCACCACACTGAATGTGTACTCATGCCTGGCTATCACATGATGACAGTTCTCACACATGTCTGAAATGAAAACAAAAGATCACCAGTTTGCTGTGAGCCTTCCCATCCAGAATCTTGGTGGGGAAAAAGGTTCAATTTCTTCTGATTGGAAATGATGCTGATTCCAACTCTGGGACATACTATCATCCAATTCCTGGATACGAGCCAAGAGAGCCCTCCTGATCCAAAAGAGCCAAGATTGATAGCTTTAAAGTCAAACATCGGTTGATCCCCATCCCCACAGTTAACTTCACGCTGATTTTCACTTATTTTTTAAGGAGCAAATTAGAAGTTCCTATTCCTTACTACAACACACACATGGATAAATGCTTGGTTTCTGCAGCACATTTCATTAAAACCTATTCAGCGTCTCCAACACCTGGCTGGCTTGCTGTTAAAGCAGTAGCCAAGGATGTGGGGGACCTGAGTTTTTTCCCTGCTCTGCCATCCACTCCATGTGTGCACCTGGGCACATCACTTACCTTCTCTGAGCCTCCGTCCTCCACTTGTAAAACAGAGATAATAGCACTTTCCTGCATCATATGGGGGCCATTCAATGAGTATAAGAACAATAAAAGACTGTGAAGTGCCTGAACAGTGTGGTGATGGGGCTGTGTAATGCAAGGACAAGTCTCTGCTGGGTCTACAGCAGGTCTTGTGGTGGAATCATCAGGGAAAGACATTGAGTCCAGAAGGCTAATGAAAACATAGCCCCTGTAATTGTTCCCAGCTTATCAGCTGAGCCCATCTGGAAAAGCATGTTTACTTTCAGTGAGATTACCTCTTCTGCAATCACTCAAAGGAAACTAGGATCTCAATTCTGCTTGGGCCCAGGTGGTGATCCACCAAGTCACTAACTTAGTAGTTCAAAGACAGCCTAGGACATTTTGTGGCTGCTTATAGGCCTCTGAGTCAACTGTCAGCTCAGTTCCCAACCCACAAAAAACTAACATAAATGGACACTTTGGTTTCTGCGGGAAACTTGAATCCAAATGGGTGAGGGAGAAGACAGTTTCCAGATGGCCCCTCACAGTCAGAACTAACTTATATTTGCAACCTGTCTCACTGCAAAGTGTGACCAGCTACAGTGCTGGGGCCTTTACTCTGCAAGCAAGCAACCCCAGTGTCTTTACTGCTGCTCAGAGATTTCCCCTGAAGCAGCTGAGACCAACCTGACTCTAGTCAGTGTCACAGCTAGTATTCAGAACCAGTCCACTTACTCATGTATTTCACTGTGCAGTCTCATAGTCAAAGTGAATGGTAACAAAGTAGTGCAGCACAGAAATGATGTATCTGGGAGGACGACAACCCAGGAACAGTGGGTGAGAGAGGCATATGAGAGACCAGCTCTGTCTCGGCAGCCTGGAGTTTGAGAAGGAAAGGTGCAGGAATAGTGAATCTTCCAGCAGTAGCATGGGGTCTCCTTTTCAGTCTCTGTTCTGCTAACAGTTATGTACATGTTCACCTGTCTGTGGGATTTGGGCCTTGACTTCTGTACTAATATAACCATGAAGGTTATTTCAAGGGCTATTTCATTTTTTTTGCCAATATAGTTATATTATTTCTAACCTTAATGTGGGTACAGTTATATTGTGGTATCTTGTTCTTCACCTGTCCAGAAACAAACTATACAAGATAAACACCTTGGTATCTGTGCCCATATAGCTCTTCAAAGCTCCCTAGACTTTAAGGCCAGAAAGGACCTTTAGCTCATCTACTCTGCTCTCCCTCTCTGTAACACAGGCTGTACAACTTCACCCAGCTAAACTTGTGTTGAACCCAACAGCTTGTGACTAGCTAAAGCAGATCCTCCGGAAAGGCACCCAACCTGATTCCAAAGACATCAAGAGACAGAAAATGCATCACATCCCTACAGAGTTCAATCAAGTGATTAATCACTTTTGCTGTTAGACATTTGTTTCTAATTTGAATCTGCCAGGCTTCAACTCAAACCTTGTGTATAATAACAGTACTCGTATAATTATAGCCACGTAGTTCATGTATGCAGAAAAAGCTTGAGATACCTACCATTTGGATTCTGACACAAGATGAAGACCTCGGGTAAGATTCTAAGATAGCAGCAAGGTAGGAATCCCTGTGGACAGGATCCTGAACTCCTCCTTAGCGCGTGACCTTGGATCTCACTTGAGAGGCCTCGCCCATTCTAATATTATAAAACCCTATGTCTGTCTGTCTGTCTGTCCGTAGAGCTTTATTTGCACTCTGATGGCTGACAAACAGCCAATCAGAGTGCGAACAAGCATTCCACCAGGAGCTGGCGGCTGGTGGAGCGCCACTTGTGATGGTGGGGACACGGGACAGAGGGGCGAGGCCAGCACAGCTGGCCTCAATCCCCCACTTACTCCCTGGAGGCAGGGGCAACAGAGCAGATGGAACATGGCAGGCAAGGCCAGCAGGTGGCAAGGCTGGAGCGGAGGTAGGGGTGAGGCCACCAGAGCTGGCCTCGCCCCTGCCCTTATTCTTTGCAGGTGACAGTGGCGGGGGG